GTTATACTTTTGTGGATTTAATTAATGCCCACTGTTCTTTATTCCTGAGAATAAATAATGCATGAAATCAGTAGTACTCAGAAATATGTGACTATTGAGCCACTGATAATGATAAATGATCATTAAGTGATAATTTTATAAGTTGATTAGTTAATAATTTATCACGAAATAACAGTTAAAAAGAGCCATATAGCTGTTACGTGCTTTTTAGCTATTTGTATAATATTAAATAGACTTTGCAATATAGAAATTGAAGTCTGGAGCATCCCGGATTCCAGGCAAAAGAGCCCGCGTGGCCTCTGCTACCACGGCGGACGCTCGCTCGGGGCCACCGAGACCTGGGTGACGGGCCCTCAGCGCTGCTGGGGACGCAGCAGCACGTGGTATGGAGACGCAGACGCTTTTAGAACACGTAAAAAATTGTCTGTCCTGCAGTCCTCGAGGCTAAAAATTAAAACGAAGCGGTCTAACTCCACGTCGAGGTGGTCCGCCGCACAGCCGTCCGCGTTAGTCCCAAGGAAGCCGGGAGTCGCGCAAACGGGGCCGGCGGGGCCAAGCGCGGCCGAGCGCCCGCGAGCAACAGCCACGCGGGCCCCGCCTTTAGGACGCGCGACGCCAAGTTCCGCGCCCAACGCAGCGCCAGAGACGCCCGCCAAGATGGCGCGCGCCCAGCAGGGGCGGCGGCGGCCGACGGCACGAGCGCGATGGAGGCGCGGGCGCCGCCTGCGGTTCTCGGAGCGGGAAGAAGCCGCGAGTGCGGCCGTTACCTCCCCACTCCTCCAGCCCCGCCCCCCATCGCGCACCCCTCTTCCTAATGCCCCTAATTTGGGCCCTTCTTCTTTACTGGGCTCCTGCTCTCCCCCTTGCCCCTGATGTCGATGGTCTGCTTTTGAGCCGGCGACTCTGCCTTTCCCTTTTGACGTCCTCCCCGGCTTGATTAGTGGCGATTGACTCTGAGTCAGGAGTGAAAGGAGCGCGCGCCCCGCCTGCCTGTCACCCGGCGGGGTCGGCACCGCGTGCGCACGCGCCAGCCAGGCACCCTCCGACTATGGAAGATCTAACTCGAACCCACGGTAAACACTTTAAATAAGACCCCGCAAAATCAGAGCACACATGTCACTGTAGTCATCAGAGGATGTCTGGTCATCCATCTCCTAATCACCCACCA